CCTGCTGTGTTCATCCAGCTCTACATCTTGTTATCTCTGATATTGCCTGACGTGGCTTGGGGCTAGTTTGGTTCCAATGATGCTATACAAACGGAAGTTGTTGTTGTTGATAAGAACAGCCTCTGACCAAAACTCTGAGCTCACAAAGTTCATAGGGGTTGGTGGTCAGCATAGTGGTCGTTTCACTCACACCAAAGGCCCTGGCTAAAGTTTTGGGGATGTGAGTTCGAATCCCACCATGGCAACTAGAGCAATTTAAGTTCAATTCACAAATCACAAAGGAAAAAACATTAATCTCAATTACAAATTGTACCAACCCAGTCAGATTCACCAGTGCCATTTTAGAGAACAGAATCTGGCATCCTTATCCGGTCTGTCCTACAAGTGACTCCAGACCCACAGCAAAATGGTCAACTCTTAAATGCCCCTTGAAATGTTTAGTTCAAAGACAATTAAGGACGTGAAGCAAATGCTGCCCTTACCCATAGAGGAATAAATTAAAACGGAAAATAACAGCCCCAGTAAGGGAGAAATCTGAAGTTTATTGTAGATTTATTTAATATATTGACACTCGTACCTAGGTGCAGTGAAAAGTGGATAATGTTGCCATGTTCCAACACCATCTTGGATTGCAGAATAAGTTACTGAACAAATTATAGAATTGGTAAAATACTGAATATATTAATATCAAATTGATATTACAACAACTGAAATGGCTTCAAAAGTTTATCAGGACTGGTTTTGCTGGATCTGTGAGGTAGGGGTACAGGAGATCACAGACCCTTCAGGGACAGCTCTAGTTCAAAGGGGAGAGTATTGGAGAAGCAGCTGATTGAGCTGTTAATGAAAACAGCCTCTATTTTTGTCAAGGCCCTTATTACTTCAGTGTTTAGTTTCACATTTCTATAATTAGGAAGGGGAACTTGATTATCTGGACAGAGCAACTGTAAGAATCTGACTTATTGCTTGGACTTGGCTTTTCCATGAGTCTGCCGAATCCCCCGGCCACCCCACTGTGTGAGAGACAGAAACTGGGTTGGAGCTCAGTGATTCCTCACACCTACAGTTCAAGAAAGCAATGCAGGCTGATATAGTACAGGAGGCCATTCAGTCCATCAACCCAGCACCCGCTCTTTGAAGAAAACCTCTCAGATTAGTTCCAGTCCAGTCCAGTCTGCAACCCAGAGAAGTGTTCCATTTTTCAGGAATTTATCCATTGAATCCGTCTCCACTGCCCCTTCAAGCAGCACAATCTGAATCACAGCACCAAGCTCTGTTGGGGATAATCTCGCCTCTCGTATTTACATAGTGGCCTTCCACTCTCGCAGCCGGCACTTCACGGCTCAGTCATTTACTTTGAAAGTACAATCACCTTAGGGCAAACCTTACAGCCAACAAGTGCACAGCAAGATCCCACTGACAGCAGGAAAGTTAATGATCGTTTCATCTATTCTGGAGGGGATCCTGTGCAGATTGTAACCTGCTGTCTATTGGTGTAACAACTCACCTCATCCTTTAGAGAGGGAAATCTGCCATCTTTACCTAGTCTGGTCTACATGTGACTCCAGACCCACAGCAATGTAGCTGATTTTTAACTGTCCTTTGGGCAATTAGGAATGGACAATAAATCCTGGCCAAGCCAGCAACACCTATATCCCATGGACAATTTTTTTTTAAGGAATGGTCAGGTCAGAACTGAGTATATTTGTCAATTGCTGTCTAATGTTCAGAACCATTGGTGGTTCCTCAGATCTTAAAGCAGGAATTCCTTGTTCTGTTGTATCAGTGTGTGCTGCAGCAATCAGCACTTGGTGAATATGGTAACATTCAGGGGTACAGGCAAGGGAGCTACAATTGGTTGTTCCAAAATATTACATTCAATTCTGCCTAGCAGCAGGGGAGGAGCTTGTAGCAAAGGTTTCAATAGGTCATGACAGTAGAGAGGTGGGGCTAAAAAGGAACCATGGACCTTTCTGCAATCTGGGTCATGACAGTGGCCCGTATGCAACAAGAACTTGGGCAACATTCTGGGTGAGGTTGCAAGAAACATTCATGCCACCTAGATGCCAGGCAATGACCATCTTCACTTGCCATTGAAAGGCATCAATCCAGCACTGAATACCCCACTGTTAACATCGAGTTGTACCAAGAACCAGAAACTAGAATCAACCAGCCATATCAATACTGTGGCCCACAAGAGCAGATCAGAGGCTGGGAATCCTGCAGCAAGGAACTCACCTCCTGGCTTTCCAAAACCTGTCCACCAAGTCAGGAATCTGATGGAATACTCCCCACTTTCCTGCATGGGTGCAGCTCCAACAACACTCAAGAAGCTTGAGATTATCCGTCCACTTGATTGGCACCACATCCACCGGCTCAGCATTCACTCCCTCCACCACTGACGCTCAGTAGCAGCAGTGTTTATACCATCTGCAAGATCCTGTGCATAAATTCACCAAGGCTCATTAGCACTTCCAAACCCATCTAGAAGGACTAGGGCAGTAGATATATGGGAACACCACCTGTTGTAAGTTCCCCTCCAAACCACACACTATCCCCTCCATCCTGACATGGAAATATATCACCGTTCCTTCATTGTGACTGGGGCAGAAGCCTGGAACTCCCTCCCTAACTGCACTGTAGACCACCTTCTCAAACACAATAAGGGGTGGGCAATAAATGCTGGACTTGCCAGTGACGCCCACATCCCAGGAAAGATTAAGTGGAGAAAGCTGGAATATAGCCACCATTACACTCGAAGCTGAAAGGACCCTGAAAGTTACCACTGAGCTAGGTTTGCTGTTGCTGGGGAGGGGATGGCTGTGAATCCAGAGACCCAGATAATGTTCTGTGGACCTCGGTTCAAATCCCACCATGGCAGATGGTGGAATTTGAATTCAATAAAATATCTGGAATTAAGAGTCTAATGATGACCATGAATCCATTGTCGAATGTTGGAAAAACCCATCTGGCTCACTAATGTCCTTAAGGGAAGGAAACTACCATCCTTACCTGGTCTGGCCTACATGTGACTCCAGACCCACAGCAATGTGGTTGACTCTGAACTGTCCTCTGGGCAAGTAGGATGGGGCAATAAATACTGCCTGGTCAGCGATGCCTTCATCCTGTGAATGAATAAATTGAAGATGACCGCTATTCTGGATTCCTGGGTGGGTATGCTTGGAGGGGGGGAGGATGGGGGAAGGGGATGTTGCAATCTGCCTTGTTCTGAGCCACTGTGACCCACAGTTTTGATCCTCCTGCAGGGCCCCAGTTACCATGGTAATGCACGCCAATGACTGTCAGCTGTCGGCCATGACGGTCAGGCTCGGTGGGTGGAGGACGCCACGGGTGGCCGAGTGAGCCGCCCCCTCACCGGCGCCATGGCGAGAATGGCCACGGCTTTGGGCGGCAGTGCCGTTGGGGGGCGGACCATGTCCTGCAGCCTGGACGCGCCCGCCAACGCCATCAGTGTCTGCCGTGACGGCTCCCAGGTGGCGGTGGCTGGGCGCAACATCTTCAAGGTCTACGCCATCGAGGAGGAGCAGCTGTGCGAGAAGGCCAACCTGCGGGTAGGCCGCAAGCCTTCTCTCAATCTCAGCTGTGCCGACGTGGCCTGGCACCAGGCGGAAGACAATCTGCTGGCCACGGCCGCCACCAACGGGGCAGTGGTGACCTGGAACCTGGGCAAGCAATCCCGCAACAAGCAGGACCAACTCTTCATGGAGCACAAGCGCACAGTCAACAAGGTGTGTTTCCACCCTGTGGAGCTGCACATCCTCCTGAGTGGATCCCAGGATGGCTCTATGAAGTGCTTCGACCTGAGGAGGAAGGAGTCTGTCTGCACCTTTTCAGGTAGGCGCCTGACCGAGCCTGATAGAGTTTGGAAGGTTGAGGAATGGTCTGATTGAAACTCCCAGGATACCGAGAGGCCTGGATAAAGTGGATGCGGAGACGATGTCTGCACCAGCAGGAGAGACTGGGACCCTGGGCCCACAGCCTCAGGGTGAAGGGACGACCCTTTAGAACTGAGGTGAGGAGGAATTCAAACCCCACCACGGCAAATGGCGGAATTTGAATTCAATTAGAGGCACCATCATAGAGTCATGCAGCACGGAAACAGACCCTTTGGTCCAACCAATCCATGCCGACCATTATTCCAAAATAAACTAGTCCCACCTACCTGTGCTTGGCCCATATCCCTCCAAAGATTTTTTATTTGCGTACTTATCCAAATTAAAAGAAAAGTCAGGAATTAAGAATCTACTGATGACCATGAAACCATCATCGATTGTCATAAAAACCCATCTGGCTCATCAATGTCCCCCAGGGAAGGAAATCTTCCATTTTCACCTGGTCTGACCTACATATGACTCCAGACCCACGGCAATGTGCTTGACTCTCAACTGTCCCCTGGGCAGTTAGGGATGGGCAATGCTTCTGGCCCAGCCAGAGATGCCCACATCCTGTGAATGAATAATAAAGAGAAAAAAAAGATTTCTTCAGCCAGAGGGTGGGGAATCTGTGGAACTCATTGCTGAAGAAGACTGTGGAGGCCATGTCATTGAGTATCTTCAAGACAGAGATAGATAGGTTCTTGATTACAGGTAGTTCTAGTATAATACATGTTTCATTAACACGAATTGGCTGTAACGTGATTGATAAATAGTGGATACTGTTTGGACAATGCAAACTTTCTGCTGTACAGGTATAATGATTTTTCTCTGGTGATTTCCCCATTACGCAATTTTCTACTTGGTTTTCTACAGTGCAAGGTCATGCAAGAACGCAACTATCCCGTAGTAGGAGAACTGCCTGTAGTAAGGAGATCAAGGGTTATGAGGAAAAGCCAGAAGAATCAGTTTGAGAAACATATGGCAGAGCAGACAAGATGGGCTGAATGGCCTAATTCTGCTCCTATTTTTATGGATGTGCTGCTGAAGAGTTACTGAGAGTGCCCCATATTTGCAGAAATGTAAGATTCGCAATTGGCCGCTATCCTTGGCCTACTACAAATTTCATTCTTGTTTTAAATCCCCCTTCTTCCTTTCATGGGATGTATGTGCCACTCCATCCCTAATTGCCCCTTGAACTGAGTGGCTTGCCAGGCTATTTCAGATGGCGATTACGAGCCTACCACATCACTTTGAGTCTGGAGTCACATGTAGAGCGGGCAAGGATGGCCCTAAAGGACATGGGTGAACCTGAGAATGGTCACTGCCACTGAGACTAGCTCTCAATACTAGATTTTATTAATCCAACTGATTCTAAACTCCATCCACCGTGATGAGATTTGAACCCATGTCCCGAGAACATTAGCCTGGATTGCTAGTCCAGGGCCATTACCACTTTGCCCTGCTCTCCCCTACTCCGGTTCCCTTGCCAATTATTCCTAAAGCTGACTGTTTAAAATCTCAGATTCTTGTCTGACCTTCTGGATTGGGCTCCTAACCTTCCTGGGGGACAGTCACTGCGGCATATTCCTGTGCCCTGGCCTGATCAACTGCTCAGACCCTCGCCCAAGCCTTTGCCAGCTCCAGACCCTGTTCTTCTACTGCCATCTTGTCTGGACCGTTTCTCTAAAGCTCACCCAGTCACTCTTGTACCAAAGATCGTAGGAACTGCAGATGCTGGAGAATCTGAGATAACAAGGTATAGAGCTGGATGAACACAGCAGGCCAAGCAGCATCAGAGGAGCAGGAAAGCTGACGTTTCGGGCCTAGACCCTTCTACCAAGTTCCGTTCGCCCCTCACTCACTGTGCTCACTAACCTACACTGGCTCTTGTTCTGAGGAAGGCCTTGATTCTTTTCCTTTTGTTCAAATCCTTGAGTATACCCTATCTCTAATTGTCTCCAGCCCTCCTGCCGTCTGAAAACACTATGTTCCACCATCTTTAGACTCTTCGTCTTCAATCACTTCTCCCACCATCTTTTGACCGTGCTCCAAGCTCTGAAAATTTCTCCCCATTTCTCTTCACCATGCTCTCCCAAGATGCTTCTGAAAAGCAATAGTGAGGAAGGGCAGGGTCGAATAAATCAGAAAGACTCTTTAGTTTATACTGTGAGCTCTCTGGAGGGCATACCAATTGTCAGTGCAGTACCAACAGAGCCCTGTTGGAGGTGCTGTCTTTCACACTCTCTGCTGTCTGAGGTCAATGAGAAAGATCTCAGGGGCAAGAGAACTTTCTTCAAGGGACCCTGGCCAATGTTCATTTGTCACTAAAACCAGATAATGCAGCGACTGTCAAAGTGCTATTTGTGGGAGTTTGATGTGCATAAATTGGCCTCTGTGCTCTCCATATCACAACAGTGACCCCATTTCATAGGCACATAGCCCATGTTCCTGTTGTTTGCAGAAGGTATAACTCTGGTCCTGTCTGTTAGGCCGGAACTCCTTTGTAATGTTACTGTGCTGCATTGCCTTCTGCAGGTCAGTCGGAGAGCGTGCGCAATGTCCACTTCAGCGCCCGCGATTTCTTCACCTTCGCTGCTACCTTCGAGAATGGGAACGTACAGCTGTGGGACATGCGGAGACCTGACCGGTGCGAGAGGATGTTCACAGCTCACAATGGACCCGTCTTCTCTTGTGACTGGCACCCGGATGACAGGTAGGAGCGAGTGTGGAGCAGTGTGCACTGCACACGGTGTGTTTGTACATGGGCGTGTGAAAGTACACGGGTAGATATATGTGCGAGTGTACTCGAGACTACATCCTTCTGTTTGGGTCATTGCCACCTCACAAAGTGCCACTCCATTACCTTAATTCAGGGCATATGGGCATCAGTGGCTGGGCCATCATTTATTGCCCATCCCTAGTTGCCCTCCAGATGAGCTGCTCCACTCCGTGTGGTGCAGGGAGACCCACTTCCAGAGTTTTGACCCAATACCGAAGGAATAGTGATGTCTTTCATTCGGTTAGTTATATTGAGTCAATTACTGCACTGAAAGAGGCTGTTTGGCCCATCAGGTCCGCGCTAACTCCCTGAGCACCAGTTCAGTCAGTTCCATTCCTCATCTGTGACCGTCTTCCTCTAAAAGTCCACCGTTTCCTTTTTAAATGAAACATCATTCATCATCTCCACTCCCACCTTCTTGTGGGCTCCAAGTTCCAGATCATCACCATTTTCTACACGAAAACATGTTTCCTCCCATCTGACCCCCACATCTCTCTCCAAAACCTTAAATCTGTGTCCCCTCCCCAACTCTATCCATGCACCATCAGTGAATGGGGACAGCTTTTCCTCATCTACCTTAGCGAAACCTGACATCGTTCACCTCCGTTGAACCTCCCCTTGGTCTCCTATGTTCCAGGGAAAACAGTCCCATTGTTTCCACCCTAACTCGTAGCTAAAATCCCTCATCTCTGGGACCATTCTGATACATCTAACCTCTCAGGCACCCTCACATCCTTCCTAAAATGTGACCAGTTCAGGGCTTAATTCTCTCGCTGGGGCCTACCCAGAGCTTTATAAAGGTTTAGCATAATCTTGTTGTTTTTGTATTTGGTGCTCAGTGTCCTATATACTTTTTTCACGATATATCCTACCACCTTTGAAAGACCAATGTCCATGAACAGCCAGGCCCTTCTGTCCCTGCCAACTCTGTAGAATGGGGACACCGAGTCATCTTGGCCTCTCTCCCTCTCCCTCCTTCACCTCGCACATCTCTCTCTCGATGCAATTCCATCTGCTTGTTCTGCTAGCCTCTCTACATCCCACTGCGGTCAGTTGGCATCACCCTCACATTTTGTCACTCCTCGAAGCTTGGTATTGAAACCAGATGTTGAATTATCTTCACTGGCTTACAACCCCAGGAGGTGGTGGGGAGGTCCCTGTGCCAGGGGCGGTAATGTATTGAGTTGGTGCAGCGGATACAGATAGAGGTCTCCAGCCTGGTCCTTGTGGGTTGGTGCCAGCCCTCACCTCTTACTGTTTCTTGTGCAGGGGCTGCCTCGTGACTGGAGGACGGGACAAGATGGTCAAGGTGTGGGACCTGACTGGTTACAAGGCCAGGGAGATGTACTGTGTGCAGACCATTGCCTCCGTGGCACATGTGCTTTGGCGCCCAGACAGGAGATACCACATCACCACCTGCTCCATGATGGTGGACCACAACATCTACATATGGGATGTCCGTAGGCCTTACATTCCCTTCGCTATGTTTGAGGAGCACCGTGACGTCACTACTGGCATTGCCTGGCGCCATAACCACGACCCCCACTTCCTTCTGTCCGGCTCAAAGGACAGCACCCTCTACCACCATTTCTTCAAGGATGCCCAGCGGCCAGCAGGCCAGGCTGTGCCCGAGGGCCTGTGCTTCGGCCTGTTCGGGGATGTGGCGTTTGCCGTCAAGGAGGGCCTGTGCTCGGCCGAGAGCCACCGCAAGGCCCTGTCCGCCGACCGCCGATACCCATTCTTCTTCACCCGGCGGCCGGACCCCACCGAGCAGTTCACCAACGTGTCGAGTGCCCTCAGCCTCTTCGAGACGCAGCCTGGCGCTGCCTCCATGGACTGGTTCGCTGAGACGGCGGCCCGGTACAGCCTGAGTGGAGGGCCCCTGCCCGAGCTGTGCGACCGTAATGCTGCCGTCGCCAGGCAACTGAGCCGCCACCAAGTTGCGCAGATCTGGAGGATGCTGAAGATCATTTACACAGGAACAGGGGCTACCAGCAACATGTTGTCAGGGTCAGGGAAGACAGGGCCCCCCCTCACTCCCCTCACCAGGTACGGTGACCAACACTCACCTCCCTCAGCGGGTACAGTGACCACCCCGACCCCTTC